TATCATTATAAGACCATTGTATACTATATGTGACAGTTGTATAGTGAATATAAACCTTATTCTTTATTAAATTATTGTATAACTAGTATACAACGTTTTTTATACCCTTTACGAAATAATAGCAATAAGTGTTATTAAAGTGTTCCATATCGTTATTAGAACATCTAGTACTGGTTATAAGTTTTATAATAATAAATGTATTAAACTGTTGTATATTCTGTATGAGTTAAAAACATATGTCATTAAGTTTTCAGAAATTTTATTGGATAACTGTAATTACAAGCTAAGGTTCTAATGTAAACATACATAAAACATACTTTTAAGCACTAAATATGATGACAAATCGCTCCCAAAACTGTCCAGTTTATTTTCTTAGCAACGATGCACCCGTATTTTCTTGTATTACATGAGAATTTGCACTATAACTCTTCCACCTTAAGAATGAAGCATCACCAGAAAGGTTGAGCTTCTTTCTATATAATTTTATTTCCTCTGGTTGATTGACTTTATACCCATGCTTTTCTTTGTCACCGTTAACCTTCTGTTCCTCCATCTTATGTAAAACTTAACATCAGCGATTTCTAATAGGACCTACAAAATAATAATTTTTAAGATTTAGACAAGATTTACATTTGAAAAAACAAAACAATTACAAGCCATAAAACAGTTAGATACTTACATAATAATTTTCCATTTCACACAACGCGATATGATCATGTATCCCACAAAACATGTGCATATTACTGTCCATTTTCATCAAACTAGACGTGTGTAAGTCGATGCACAGCGGACTGTCGGAAATTTTATGATTGTTGTATTTTCTCTTCTTGAGTAAAGATAATAAAGACACTGTGGTTTTGTGTGTTTATTTTGACAATGATTGAACATCTATGGACAATAAAAGTGGACTGTATAAGATAGTTGAGTACCGTTCTGCTTCATGCATAGCATGCTACTGAAATCTTAGAAGGATGAGCTCGTGCGCCGAACCCTAAATCAGCGGCTGGAATAGCCAGGTTTCTTATTGAGTCGGCGCACTTCGCTCTCGGGTCTGACATATGATTATTATTACAAGACTATGAATATAACTTAACAACGATCATAACCGATTATGCACCGAGAGGTGACGATCACTTAACCATTATAAGACGCGTTTTACACGTTAAAAACGGAAACATATTCAGTATAAGAACGAATAATTCTGTTAATACAATTGTTATATACAATTCGGATACTGGTCTTTATACAACAAATCTTCCCTACTATACAATTGGAATATAAAGTCTATAACACCTAATAATGTATTAGTAATTCATTATAACCTTTATTTCATAGATGCATAAGGTGTATTAAGCACCTTCCAGTTAAACTGATTGAATAATGAGTATGGAGATGATTGCTCTTTTTTAATAAAAGTTGTATATTGGTTATAAAAGTTTTAATAGGCGCTATACACATTATTCTAGATAAACAGTTTAATAAGCCCATTTCTTTCAGTGTATAGATGGCGTAGCGATACTGGCGATTTTTTTAATTCCTGGGACGTGGATAAAGGGTCCATCTGAAAGATCGTTAAATTTTGAATAATTTTTGTAATATCCAGTTTTCGAAATTAAAATAAACTTGATTTCGGAAATTTGGCTGCGGGAGTGTTAAATGGCATACCCTGTATGCCTTGTGAATTCCAATAAGTATAATGTTGACCTCTTGACCTGCTATTAGAATATTATAAATACAAAAATTATTGAAAAAGAGGGAATTTTAAAAATTAAAAGTTCTGGAGCATATGTCGAAAAACGGTCCAATAATTCAATGTGTAAATTTAGATCATTATTGGCTATAAATAGTAAACAAATATCATATGATAACTTTTACTGTGGAAACAGATAAACAAATAAAATTTAAACTTTTAGTTATGCTTCAAAATGAAACATCATTTCTAGTTTTGAGAGCGAAAACAGATTAGAAAATTTACAAATGCTATACTTTTCCGAAGATTTTTTATGCGCAGAATTACTCCATCAAGTCAGGTTTTAAAGATATTCTAACCTAAAAGTGGTAAAACATGATTTTTCACAACATTTGAAGTTATGTAACATGACGAGGTAATTTTCACCACAAAATGCTTATTGCATCTGAGAGTACTGTTCTTCCTTTTCAAAATTTATTTTGAATCATTCGAATATCTTCTTTCCTCTCCGAGAAATCGCCTTCTCCCCAATTTCCACAAGTTCTTCAGGTTTTCAAGGCCGCTGACTACGAGTTTGCCGTGAGAATTACAATATTCAAAACGGCGGATCCAATATGGAGGATGGAAGTTTCTAAAACAAAATGTTTATAATTTAATGCAATGTTTTTGATAAAAAAAATCATGATCTTTAGAATTACGAATACTATAATAATTTAGTTTAATTACTATTTCGAAATTCGCGATGGCCGATCCAATACAAAGTGTGATTCTATAACACTATAACCCTGAAGATCAAATTCGAACAAATTCGAAAACTCTATAAGGCCATAGCATGGGAGATGGAATTTTGAAGCAGAAAAGTTCTGTGAGCGGAGACTATATAACCTCATAACTCTAGGGATCGAATTTCTAAAAAAAATTCTAATACAACAAACTTTTGAACATCCCTGTAAAGTGAACTTTCCGAATATTGACGCAAACTAATCTATTGCAACAATCGATTTCTGCAAAGGAAAAGCAATTTTCGAACGATTCAAATTGGAATCAGAAAAAGAGGGTAATACTTTCAGATCCCATAACGAGTTTTGTGAAGAAAAATTTCCTCGCAATGTAACATAACCTCAAATATATCGAAAAACTGTGTTTGTCGCACTTTTAGGTGTTTTCTGGTTTAGAAGCTCATCGTGTTTTCTCAGCATAGTATATTATTTTTTGAAATATTAACCGCGTGACTCAGTGATGTGTATCTTGTTAATAAAGGATTATTAGCTTCATCAAGAATATAAATCAAACGAAGAGAGGGAAGTGCAATAAAAATTAATGTAAATGCGGGTATAATTGTTCATACAATTTCAACAAATTGCCCTTCTGATTAATATCAATGAGATAGACTATTGAATAAAAGAGTAATTATCTTATATTCTTGTTGGACAAATCCTTACTATTCTATATTTTTCATATTTTTTAATTAATCCAGTAATCGCTGAAATTCAAGATCAAAAATCCAAAATAAACGGGAAAAATTTAAAATCGTGCCAGAAATTAATAATTTTAGAAAATTTCGTTTCCTAACCTCAAGAAACAGGTAAAAAATACCAAAAAATCACGAAAATGTACTAGGAAACATACCAAAAAAAATTTTTTTATTCAAATATTCATTTATATGGTTAAGATCCCGCCGAATGTGAATCCGCTGTCAGAATTGATGGTTCTTTTTCTAACCTGAAAAAAACTGGTCAATTAAAGTCAAATATTATGAATTTTAAAAAATAACAGATTCGCGCCAAATTTGGTATATGGAGGTTTTCGGGGTTGGCGTTCATGGATCCGAAGTCAATTTTGCAAAATTCAAGATGGCGGATACAAGTTGACTGACAAAATTTTCAAAACATAACACAATCGCGTCAAATTTGGTATACGGGGTTTTTCGGGGTCGCTGATCACGGTCAATTTTGCAAAATTCAAGATGGCGGATCCAAAATGCCCGACCAAATTTTCAAAAAATAACAATAAAAAATTAAAAAATTAACGAAAAAGTGCTAGGAAATATACAAACAAAAATTTTCTATATTTAAATGTTCATTTATATGGTTGCTGAACGTGAATCCATGAATGGTTCTATTTCTAACCTCAAAAAGAAACGGGTCAATTAAGGTCAGATATCACGAATTTTCGAGGTCGCTGATCACGGATCCGAGGTCCATTTTACAAAATTCAAGATGGCGGATCCAAGATGGCCGACCAAATTTTCAAAAAATAACAGATTCGCATCAAATTTGGTGTGCGGGGGTTTTCGGAGTCGCTGATTACGAATAATTCGAAATTCATTTAGTAATACAATCATGTTTTAATCTCCTTTTTTTCGGCTATATCTTGTTCTTTTTTCTGTAAAAGATCTATTCACAGATTTTCTGATCCCGAAAACCCCCTTATACCAAATTTGACGCGAATCTGTTATTTTTTGAAAATTTCGTCGGTAATCTTGGATCAGCCATCTTGAATTTTACAAAATTGACCTCAGATCCGTGAGCAGCGATCCCTAAAACCCCCGTATACCAAATTTAGCGCGAACCTGCTATTTTTTGAAAATTCATGATATCTGACCTTAACTGACCCGTTTTTTTTTTAGGTTAGAAAAAGAACCATTGATTTTGTCCGCCGATTCACGTTCAGCGGGGTCTTAACCATATAAATAAGCATTTGAATATAGAAATTTTTTTGTATTTTTCCTAGCACTTTCTCGTAAATTTTTACTATTTTTGACCTGTTTTTTGAGGTTAGGAAATTCTGACACTGGATTCGTGATCAGGAGGCAAAAATACTACGCATAACATATGTCGCATGAAAAGTACAGACAACTTTTAAATATTAACATTTCTACGCCAATCATTTTTTTTAACTTGAACATTATTTTATTTTTAATAAAAAATTTTCAAAGACTTTTGTGGAAGTCTAGTAGTTTTATAATTATTTTTGGTTTATTCAACGATGTGTTAATTTGTTAAAAAAACAATTATTCTAAAATGGCTCCTTTTTCGCCCATAATTTAAGAAATCAATTAGCTGACTCAGGAAACTTTTGCCTCCAATTAAATAATTCATTGGTCCATGTTTCAGCAGTTCGCATCATACATCTTCAGAGATCTTGAAAAATTATTTTTTATTTTCGGCTTTCCGTATCTCTAAAACGACGTTACGTCAAGTCTCTAGCGATTACAACTTAGCCCGCCTCGTACAGTGTTTGTACAAAGTATTTATTCTTGTGTAATTTGTGAACGCTTTAAAGCTCACTCCTGAAACCCCTATTTCAGGCGAAGGAAGTTGCAATTCGAACGACGGCGTCTCCGAGCTGCGATACGGGAAGATCGGATCGGGAATGGGGGGAAGCGGCTCCGAGGACGAGGGGACCGTCAATAACTCCGGACACTCGGAGGGTGACAACTGCAAAAAGAAACACCGCCGGAACCGGACCACCTTCACCACCTACCAGCTGCACGAGCTCGAGAGGGCATTCGAGAAGAGCCACTACCCCGACGTCTACAGCAGGGAGGAACTAGCGATGAAGGTCAATCTGCCGGAGGTCAGAGTGCAGGTAAGGGATAACTTTAAGTTAACAAACTACAATATATGCTCAAAACATCCATCACACAAAAAACGCTCAGACACGATCCAATTCCAGATACCAACTCAATTGCGTAATGCTGGACAGTTTAGTATCTCGTGTTATCTGCCGCGCCGTTGTCACATTGCTCGATATGAATTTTATTATTTATAATTTATTACAACGCTAATTGTTTTTTAGAATTAAGCATAAAGTTCAAAAATGTGATATACATTGTATTTTATGGTATTCTATGCACGCAGTTACGTCAATATTACTTAATTAATCGAACTTTTGTACATCAAGTTGGAGATATTGATAATTTTTTTCTCGGGAATGTATAGTCCAGTCAAATAAACCCTGAAAACCAAAAAAATATAGACATTTTATTGTACTTTATGGTGGTGAAGGGTAGAAAGATAATAATAATAATAATAATAGCTTTATTGCTCAACAGTTACCCCATTTACAGAGCAATTTTATTTTACTTCTAAAAATTATAAATAGTTACTTAATCTAAATACAGATACAATACAAACTTAGTACATTAATTACGAAACAAAAAAAAATACAAAGATACTTCAATTGTATAGCAACAGCCAATATACTCTCAAAATCATCAAAATGAATGGCATAATATGCCACAATGAAAGTGGCATAATATGTTACAACACATTACATATAATAGTGATTTTAAAGTAATATCCGTTCTAGGAATGTTAAGAAAAAAGGTTTTCGTATGTCTTGAGTGGTCTCTGGGTATATTAAACTGAATTTGAGACATTAAAACAGAGCAGTCAATACTGTTATGTAATATTTTGTATAAAAAAGACAGTGAAGAACATTTTCTTCTTACGTCTAAACTGGTGATATCAAACCTTGTCAGCAACATATTGTATTGAGTATCAAATTCTGGATAATATCCAACTTCTTTAAAATACAAAAATTTTATAAACTTTCTTTGAATTCTTTCAATACTGATTTTATAACGCTGATAATATGGATTCTAAATGATGCAACCATATCCTACTTTAGACCTGACAAACGAATAATATAATGTTTCAAAAAGTACACCAAGGTCCTTAACGGTTTCATAGCGAGAAAGTGCAATGTCAGTAATAACATATTCAAAAATAGTAGGATAGTCTCTACTTGGTATAAGAAACAATTTTACATTTGGGTATATTAAGACGCAATTTATTATTTGAACACCAAGTTTGCAAATTAGTTAAAGGCTTCTGTAATTTTAAGCAATCAACTATGGAATAAATTGATGTAAAGATTTTCATATCAACAGCAAATAATAGCTTATTGCAGTCAACTAGTTGACAAATCTAAAGTCATATTTCACCAATTTGTTAACTGTAAAATAAGGGCCGAACGTAGAAAAATCAGTTTTCGAAAATTGCGCATTACTATTGCAAAAATTGGTGAATGTTAATGAAATTTATGAAGAAGACGGTCAATCCAACGACCAACATGTGTGAAATAGGCTGACTCGATTGACCGTGAAATTGTTCCACCAATTATTGCTCCAGGTATTTAGTTTAATTTTTAATTTCGTTCGTTTGTTTGCAACTAATTGTTTAATTAGTCAACGTTAATTTTGGAGCTTAATATCGTAGATATAGGTTCTAACTGATATAAAGAAAACGTATCGAAAATGAAAAATTTCAAAAAGTTGCTCTTTGCAACTACTAAAGTAGGATGTGCAAAACAGCGTTAAATAAATTGTCCCAGAGTCAGGCAAAAGTCGCTCGGGAAGTCGCTCTTTTTGCATTAAATAGAGCTTATTTTTAGGGTAGTTTTTTTAAAAACAAGTCACTTACGCCTCTTTATTTCCAAGATAGCTTTTTATAACGTTAGTTGTTAATCACCTATTGGAAGTATCGCATCAGGATTTTAGAGACAATTAAACAAAGGGTTAAACTTTTATTAACATTAACTTTTTGAAAATAAAAATTTAACCCTTTCTTTGTCTCTAAAATCTCGGTCTGATACGTCATTAGTTAATTAACAATTAACGTTTAAGAAAAAACTATCGGCGTAGGTGATTTTTTTTAAATTAACTTTTCCGCGTTTGACTTTTACTTTACAGTCAACTTTGTGAAAAATGACTTTAGGTACCTTAAATTGTAGGTAATTTAATTGCCTACAACATAAAGCAACAAATTTTCCGATAGGTCGTTTAGATTTCCAAGGGCAGTAAAAAAAATTGAAAAAACACGAAATTTTGACACTTATTTGCGATTTGGCAACTTAGCGTCACTTCTTTCCAATTAGTTTTTTGATATTATCATTTTACATGCTTCACTCCAATTCGACTGCACCACTACACGACAGATACAGATTAACTAGGACATAACACAGATAATCTGTATCTGTCTCACAAAACACATATTATAAAGTTTAACTGACAAATTTACCCGACATCAATTGAAAAAACTCGTACTTTAAAAGCAGTACTTTTATAATATAAGCATACAGAATACCGTTTCCTCAGATTTTTTTTTAAATCATAACTTTTAAGGGGCCCTCAAATTTTAAATGAAAATTACAGAAGTCTGTTACTACATGGAAAAAGAATTGTATTAAGAATAGGACTAACTACAATTCATGTTAAATATATTCACATTTTATTGCTATAAGATACGCAAAATTGTCTTAAATCAGTGCAGTGGTTCCCAAACTTTTTAAAGTTTTATGTCACTGGTGTTAAAAACTTGTTGACAACACATTTGCCTGCGAATGTAAGCACATATTATAGAATTGTTACCGTCGCCATTGCAAACTTAAGGGTAAGTTCGGAACCACCCTAACTTGAAATTTGTGCGTATTGAAAATTAAGTTTGTTCAATTTGTAACAATCTCAAAATATTCTCCGAAGAAACTTGATTCAAATAAAATCAGAAATTTTATCTTATCAAATGAAGAGAAACAATTTTCTTTGATACCAGACATTGCCGGGAAAAAACTACTTTAGGAGTTATATGCCCCAACTAGCATTGAATTAACCTGCATTATCAGTATAAACAGGGTGGTCCGAATTTTATGCAGAACCACCCTGTTTGCCACCAACTTCGAGGAGAGATAGATGTCTTTAAAATAATAGGAGTTTGCCATATAAACATAGGTCTGGAATGGCCTCGTTTTAGAGATACAGGGTGTTCTCAAGAATCTATTAACCGATCTCAATAAAATTTGGTACAAATAATGTATGACAGTAGGCCTTGCATATCCTAAAATATGAGCTCTAAAGGTTTAACCAGTGGTGTACAACTGGACAGGGGGTCGCCCCCTTTTTATAAAAAAAACTTACGCCACTGTATTTTTTACAAGTTATTTTAACGGATTTATATTTTAATGCACTAAATACGTAAAAAGGTGACTTGAATTTTTTCCCTAAGCCTTATCATTTTCAAGTTATTCATACCAATACAATCCCCTTGTGGCAGACACTTGAAACCATAATATTACAAAAATATTTATGTTTATGCTTAAAAGTAAGTGCAATTTGTAAACACATCAACAAATTTTTTTCCATATCACCTGTGATGTAATTTTCCTGGGGTGTTTTTGTTTTCCCTAGAAGCATTATCTTTACAAATAAAAACAATTTAAATCAAAATAATAATAAATATGCATTTACCAAGCAACAACAACTAAACAAGAAACAAAATTAACGTTATGTATTTACACCAATTGTTTAAAATGTGAACCAGCCACATCGATACATTTCTGACATCTTCTATTAATGGTACTAATTGAAGCTAATATCATGTGGTGGTTTTCTTTTAATTCATTACACCCGTCTTCTATTCGCTTGTACTCTAGTATCTATTGGAGTATAGAGTAAACTTTTCAGATAGGTCACCCCAAACATCCAGGGGGTTAAAACCCTTTAGGTTTTTTTGGGATAATAGTTTCCCACCTATTAAAATATAACCCTTGAATGCTTCACTGGAAAACTACTATCCCAGAAACTCAAGATTAGATATAACATATGTGCTGCCATCTTTAGAATTCTCTTAGAAACGCTCACTTAGATTAGAGTGTGGGAGTTGGGAAATTATTATCCCAGTATACCATTTAGAGCTCATGTTTTTTAAGAATACGTGATATGGTTGTTTGTGTTTACGTTTTTATACAAAACAAAGGAAATTATTGAAAATTTGTGGAAAAACGGATAAGTACAATCACCAATATACCCATTATTTCTAGTGTAGTGTGTAAGAATTTAAAATTTGACTGCAGTTTTTATTATAATGTAGTTAAAATTCTAGAAAACTTTGTAAGCTTATGTTTCCACTTCTACTTTATTTATATTTTTTATTAGGAAAATATTGAGGAACAAAGTTAATATCCGGTATTTGGCTACAATAATATCTGTACTTTCCATAGAAACTGCAAAAATAGGTCATAAACTAATAGCCGGGCTGAAATTACTCAAAATAATGATTTTACGATTATTTTCTTATATAAAGTTCTAACAAATTTTCAACTCCACTAGAATTGAAAATAAAAAGAAATATAAATATTAGAGATAGTGACTTCAAATTTGAAATTCAATATAAGCAGAGATTTTAGTTTATTATGAAATCCACTCACCATCTCTACAACACCAATGGCGGGGTTTGGGCGGTGTGGCAAATTAGTTTTTTTTTTTAATTTCAAACTTTTCTACAGTTTTAGCTATACTTATATGGTAGGAGAAAGCTATGGCCTCTAAATTTTCTTTCGACAAATTCAAATACGGGCAGAAATATACATTTTTGTAACATTGGCTAACTTGTAACGTAAGTAGTTTAGGTAAAAACTGTTTTACTCCGTTTCATAAATCTTAATTATATGTTTGTATAATTACTGTTAGGCTATAAATAGTGTAATGGTAAGAGATCCTTTATTTTATTGTAGGTTTGAAATACATCACCCAGAAAATTAATGGGTATAGTCTGTTTACTAAAACGTCTTTGGGAATATAATTTCCCACC